CCCTTGCCCCTCCCTCTCATCCATCCGTGCAATGGTGGCTATCGAAATGTGCAGGCATGGGCTCTATTCGAATGTAGCTGTGGTAATGTGGACAGAGCAAGGGAACTCTTCACCCTGGGATGCAATGGCAGCCTTGAAAATGCCGCAGATTCGTTGCTGGCGGTAAGTGGACTCTATTTATTATGCCAATTTGGCCCAAAAAAGCTATTGTCGATGGACTACTGGTAGTTTTCTACACAAATGTGTGCAAAGCATCGCTACGATCTGGCGATCTGGACGTCCGGAGCGCAGCGCGGACGGTCTGCATCCGGATGTCCGGATCTGGCGTCTGGTCTATAGACCATCTGGATCTGGCCCCCACTGTGGGGAGAAAATTTTAATCCGGCTTGAAAAAAAAAAAACCGAAGATTGTTAAAAAAACGACATGTTATGCAGCATTGCGACACAAAAATCTTTTGGCTGAGGATCATCTTCGAGGAAAAATAATTAAAAAAAAGTTTTTTTTTCTTTTTCTTTTTTTTGGGAAGGTGGGGCGGGGGGGTGCTCAATCTGGACGGTCCAGAGCCATCCAGACAGAGGTCCGTCCAGACGTTTGGATTGGTCTGGTGTCCGGGTCCCGTGTAGCAATTGTGCAAAGCACTGTGCAAAGTTTTGCTCCACTGAGTCCACTCCTGTTATATATATACTGGCTCTGTCCCGTTGTTCGGTCTATTTTGGAAGAATGGTAGCGGTGCTTCATGTGGGATCGGTCATCCGGGTTCTTCTTTTTTTATCGTCTTGGGGCATCCTGGTTGGCTGTTTCCCATTGTTCGGCCTACACGGGGGGCGGTGCTTTTACGAGGGAATCGTCATCTGGGATTGTCTTTCTTTTTTTTGTAGATAAGGTGTTCTTTGCTATGGATATGGTAGAATTTGTTCTCTGGTATTCATTTATGTTGAAAATGGCCTGGCTCATCATTTAACCATCTCACAGTTCCCGTGTCTTGAATCCTGGCTGGTTTGTCCCGTCGTTTGGCCTGTGCTGTCGGGGGCGGTGTCTGCATGTGGGACTTGTCATCTAGGATTCGTTTGCCCCCTGTTCTGTAATGTTTGGCTGGAAAGGCCCGAGGGGATGGCATTGATTACTTACTTTCCTGCGGAAGGATGTACCACCCCTCGCCCCTGCCTAAGCTAGCCTCATTTCTTAAATGCCGTTTGAACCCATGCTAACCTTTACTGAACGGCCTCAAGAGACACTGCTGATAGCCCCAAAAGCCAAACCCAAGGAGGTTCGCCTTGACCCGTTGGGACCAGGATCTCGAGAAACCCCTGCTACCTCCCTACGACGACAGTTCCTCGGAGTAACACAACTCACTCCGGGAGAGCCCTCGGCCGGGGGTGAGCGATTTTTTTTTTTTTTTTTGGCATGCCAGCGTTGAGCGACAATTTGGTTTCTACAGCATTGGCAAGTCACAAAAGTACATGGAAATGATGGAATCATTTATACTTCTCTCCAGTGGTTGAAAAAAAAAAAACAGACCACAGGTCGAATCCAGATGGAACAAGATGAATGAAATTACTTGGGACCGGTCAGTTCAACAATGCTATCTCATTCATCTTGTAAATCCATCTGGATTTGAAAAACGGGAAAACAAAAAAGGTTTTGGATGAATCCAGGGTGGACTCAGATGCGGTGTCATTTTGCTTCCTCCATTGTGTGCGGTCCAGTCTACCGGCTCCACCCGAGTAAAACGGCTTGTTGTTATTGCTGTTTCTTGACTGAAATTTGCCCCAAATACGGCTATAAGGATTGGGGTGAAGACTCAAATGATAGGCCCAACAAGAGCAGGAACCCATATAAGAAACGTTATGACAGAATTCGACCTCATCGACCCCTTCAGAACGCTGCACCCAGAGAAAAAGGCCTTCTCACTGATTAAAAAGAACCAGGCCAACTGGACGTCATTGTCCCGGATCAACTTCTTCTTAATCTCAAAGCACCTCCAAGGCACAATTAAACAGGCCGAGATTCGCCCACCAGCGGCCTTCCGGGGTCTAGACCACAAGCCAGTAGAATTGCTCCTGAACTTCGACTCCCCCACGGAAAGAGGCCGGGGCTTCTACAGAATTAACAACTCCCTCTTAGCCACCGAAAGACTAACAGAGGCAGTCAGATGGAATTGGTTCTTCATGAGACAGAACAGCACCAGACTAGACAACAGACACACGTGGTTCACAGACAACTACACAGACCTCACCCAGACAGTCTCAGCGGAATCCCAGAGCATCGCAGGAGAATGAAAGATCAGAAAAGAAGAACAACTCGCCATATCCCTCGCAGAGGACAACCTTGCCACAGACCCCTCAACACTTTCTACAGCCAACTACTCGATTCAGCAAGAGAGGAATTAAATGACTGGAGGAGATGGGAACTGAGAGGCCTACAGATTCGAGCCAGGATGACCGATCACACCCTAAATGAATCTATGACAAAACACTTCTTCGCAAAAATTAAAGCCAACGCCAGGAATGACAACATTGAAGGGTTGAAGGACCCGGACAATCAAAACAGGGTCGAACAATCGGGATCGGGAATGGTGAAAATCACCAGACTGTTCTACGCACAGCTCTACGAGTCCAAAACACCTTCCCCCCTCACTTCTGCCAACTCAGCAGCACGGCAGCGAATGATGGCCTACCTAGAGAAGAAAATCACACCAGAACAAACCGAGGGGCTGCACAGACCACTCTCGTTGGGGGAACTATACACAACCCTGACTCAGATGGGTAACGATAAAGCCCCGGGCATCGACGGACTTTCAAAGGAATTTCGGGTCCACTTCTGGCCCACACTAGGCGAGGACCTGCTCAATTTCTTCAATGACAGCAGAGACCGAGGAGGACTAGGCCAAAATCTGAGTACAAGCGTAGTATCGCTACTCCACAAAAAGGGCGAGAAAGAGGAGTTGAAGAACTATCGACCCATCTCGCTTTTGACAACCCCCTACAAGATCCTAGCAAAAGCAGCCAACAGGATCATAAATCTGACTGGTAAGTGCTTCCATATCGACCAAGCAGGTTTTATCCCAGGCTGGTACGTACTCGATAATGTGATGACCCTGAACCAGGCGGCCAAAAAGATAACCGAAAAAAGAATGAAAGCAGCTTTTTCGACTTTGAAAAGGCATTCGACCAAATAAATTGGGACTTCCTTCACCCGTGCATGGAAAAAATGGGGGTGGGCCCAAATTTCAGGCAGTGGGTCAAAGTGTTGTACGCTGACGCAACCGCCAGAGTGCAGATCAATAGGATCCTCTCGGAAACATACCCCATCTCTAGGTCCGTACGACAAGGTGACCCCCTAGCTCCACCCATCTTTCTCTTCGTTATGGAAGCTATAGCTTCCTTCCTCCGCAAAGACCCGTTCATCGACCGACTTACTGAATGGAACTTCGAACCTCTTCACGACCTCGCCCTACCCACCGCTCTGAAGTTCGCAGACGATCTCACAGTCCGAATCCGCGCCAACAACAGTTCCTTCCAAGCCCTCGCAAGGGCTATTGTGGCATACTGCGTAGCCACACGAGCCTGCAGGGCCGGTCCCACATTTCCAGCCTAAAAGCCTAGAAATAAGGGCTTACAGGCCCCTGTCGTTTCAGCCTGAAAGACTGAAAAACGAGGGCCTGCAGGCCCTGTCTCTTATACACATCTAGATGTGTATAAGAGACAGCCCCAATAGAACGCCCTTTCATTATCGCTGTAATCTGGATTGAGGGTTGAACCAAATACAGCCGTAATGACCACGCGCTCTATTCGGGTGAAGACGAGACGATAGCTCTGTTCTTCTATTCGGGTGAAGACGAGATGATATCTCTGTCTGTCTGGTCCGCCCCGTTCTGTGTTCCCTGCCTCCAGAATCATGCCCGCTTGCCGGTTGGGTATATGTATTGTGAGTTGCTGGCATGGTGAAACACGAATATGAGATTTATCCTAATAAAATTATCCATATCCACCAGTTGAATCTTTGGATTTTTTTTATTTATTTTTTATTTTTTTATTTTTTTATTTTAATAAGCTGCCTTCTTCTCCTCATCACGGGACAGCCATATATTTTTCTCTCAACTAACACATTTTTTCTTTAACTGGTGTTCTGCCATGTCGTCATGGAACATATCTTTTTCCTTTCACTACCTACCTACCACTCCTCCTAAGGCTATATTTGCAAACTCCATGAACTGTCAGGCGTAATTTAAGGCTATATTTGCAAACTCTATGAACTTTCAGACGTAATTTAAGGCTATATTTGCAAACTCTATGAACTTTCAGGGGTATTTTGCAGATTTTCCAATTGTTTTGGACCCTCCCAATGAAGTAGCAGTAGCACCAGAAGAGAGGTCTCAAGCCATCTGAGGCCAGGTGCCCCCTCACCATTAAGGCCTTTGGAGAATGATCCCAGTGCTCAATTCTGAAAATGAGTCGTGGACAAATCTTTATAGTTAAAACTTAACACTTCAAATAATTTATTAATTTCTCCTCGAAAAACAGACTGCTGCTGAAGTGGACCATGCAGCCAGGCGCCCAAGTGGACGTACCTTTCTCTATTATTTTTCGTCAGCTATGCTGGCGCAACTTTTCATTACAAAGTTTGGTGTCGAAAGCTTTCTAGCAGTTTCTACCAATTGTGATTTTTTTTTGGATTGTTGTCACGATTTCGTCTTTCAATTCTGTTTTTTAAACTTTTTTGTCTTTCAATTCAGTTTTTTCTGAGTGATGTGTAATGAGAGAGAGAAGCAATTGAAGTTTTGAGTCTTTCGACTGTTCTGGCAAATTCTTGTGGCCTGGCATAACTCCCATAATAAAGATCACAACAAATATGAAGATAAACCACAATAAAGAATTGAGTGAAACTTTCACACCCAATAACCAGGTTATCACTTGATCCCATTCCTAACACTTTCTCCCTCCCTCTCTCTCTCTTCCCTCTCCCCCCCCCCCCCCCTCTCTCTCTCTC